GAAAAAAGGAATTTTTCAACAATCCCATTTGTCATGTTTGGAGCTTGTGTGCCCTAATAAGAAAATTGCTGACAAATGGCAGTGCTGTGTGTTCAAACTATCACCATGCAACACCAGACAGCCAGTTTAAGAACTCTCGTTCTTAGTCTTTTCATTGTGAGGCATTTTATAACATCAAGTGTCATTCCTAAGTCGACGATGAATAGCAACAGTGAATTTAAACAAATTCCACTGAACATTTAATACATAAAGGCATCTTATCCTCACCATTGACCTGCCATTTTGATTACATATTAAACCTTTTTTACAACTCTTGGCTTTGCACAATATTCTCAGTATTTCTTCTGAGATCTAATAACTACAGAATTCAATTTGCTGCAAATCAAACAGATGTTTATTTTAAGCTGCTGTAAACATCATTTCCACAATGGGTCAAATGACTACGTGCAATGTGAAATTGGTCCGTCCTTTGTAGTGTTGATCCCACAGAGAGCTATCAACCAACTCTGCAGTTCGCCTCAGCTCAGTGGAGCATTTTAGTGTCTTTCAGCTAATTGTTTTGGTTTCACAGGTTGGCTGGCTTTGGTTTAGTTTTGACATCAAATTTATTTTCAGCCCCAGCAGGCAGCTATTTTCAGCAAAAATGAATAAATAAATTAGGGCTGTCAAGCAGTTAGATTAATCGCATGCATCAACTTTTGCTGTGAAAGTATTTTAAGTATTTCAGTAAAAATACATTTTGGCGAATGTGTTGTAGTAAAGCTGCTGGATTTGGGACACAATTGTCCCCCCCGTCCCCTTGCAGTCCACTGCAGTCCATTTTGCAAAAGAGTTAGTTAGTCGGTCACAGGTACACTTAGTTTGCGTCTGAACGCCTGGTTTAGTGTGGCCCCAATGGTGGGAAAATTCCTTACTGCAAAAACTGCAGAAGACAATGCTCCTATCAACACTTCCATCTGGGCATTTTTTAAATGTAAATGTTCCATTCACAGGACCAAGCAGCGTCATCACGTCTGACTCCATCATGTGACAAAGCCACTGTGGCCTTCAATGATACGCTGGGTCAAAGGGCACCACAGAACACAAATAATCAGCTTTAATTTTTTTAACGCAATTTTTGTCTGTGATTAATTAATCGAAATGAATGTGTTATTTTGGCAGCTCTAAAATAAATGAATACATACTCTGTTTTCTATAACTGCCCAGCAACAAACAAAAGAGAGGCAAGGTTTAGCAACTAGCTGATGAACATAGTGGAGCATGTAGCAGTTGAGGAGACAGATAGTCCCCTCAAGAGTTGGTAGAGACCAATACAGAGCTAAAAGGAGAGTCAGTATTGGACTTGACTCCAAATTATGGATAATGTCAGAAGAAAATGTATGTTTCTGCAAACCATTACATTTGTACATTTTGTTTTTATCATATAAAGTGGCATTGTATATGAGCTAATTCTGACTACATGAGGTGGAGGGGATGGTGTGTTACCTAGGAGAGACACCGGCCAAGCTGCAGACCACTACTCAAGACCAACAAACAATATTGCTGCATTTCCAGTGGCATTTTAGCCATCAGCAGTAAGTGTTTTTAGCGACCCATTGCTGTGTTTCCTGCAGGTATAGTGGTGGTGCCTAAACCCAACCGCATGTTGCTCTGTATCTGCTGGACGTGTAAATGAGCAACTATTTTTCATTATTTTATTGCTGTATTTACAGTCAGTCAATCTATTTGTCATTTTTTTATTGATGTGCCTTGCCACGATTTTCATCATTATTTAAGTAAATCTGTAATAAAGACACTGTCCACCCTGGCAGAATCTGACTGGTTTAACTGGTCATGGAATTCCACAGAGTTATCAGTGTCCTCTCCACGCTCCCATTGTTTTGTGAAAATTGTAGCTACGCATAATATTATAGCAAATTTATCTTTGCTGCCATCTGGCAGCTGCCTGGCTCTTTATATTCAGTGTGTCCACAACCTGCCTGGGACCCTGTGCACTCCAGTATCAGATCACGACATCACCCAAGCCCGTGTGCTGTCCACAACTGGAACCAATGAATTTAATTTTTCTGTGCGGCCTTCAGACTCATACTGGTTTGTCACCAGTTCTAAATCTCCCTCTGCCCAGGGCTTTATGTCTTTTGCTGACATCTTTAGAGCCCGAAAGTGGGGGTGAACACCAGAATGGGAAGTCCTTCTCTGTATGTAGGAAACGCACAGCTTCCTCTGTCCAGGCTCCTGACATTTTCTCACTGTGGGAAGCATGCTGTGCTCAGGACGTTGGTTCAGATTCACATTTACAGCAGCATTAAAAACAACTTAACCCAACAGCCTAATGCACTATGTCCTCTTCAGGTCCAAATAACAAAACAGTGGTAAAGTGGAGCTGATAGAAAGAAGTGAGAAGGCTCAGTGTTATGCATGCAAGCATACACAAAGTGCATGAGTCGCTCATTTAGGAAGTTCAGGAGTTGGGTTTGGTTTTCCACTTTCAGGGATCCTGGTGGTGTCTCCATCAGGGCACTGGACTGAGCTTCCAGGGGTCTTTGAAAGGTCTTCAGAGATCTGTGAATGGTCTTCAGTGGACCTCAAAGGGTCACATAGAGGTCCAGCAAAATTTTCCAGGCGACCCTAATTAAATTACTCAGTCATTTAATTCAGTAGAATTCAACATAGTAAAAAACGGACACCATGATGACTGTTTGACGCCAAATTTAATATACTTTAATATTACTAGTGCTATAATTTGGTGTCTTTTTTAATCAACAAAGCTTTAATGTCTCTCCTTGTGACAGTTAGCAAATGGGATATTTGTATTCTATTAATATAAGATGCTTAAAGAAGCCCATATTTAAATTATTCCTGAGCTTTTTTGAGAGCACAAAGATGTATATGTATTTATTTATGCCTTTAATTTTTTCACAGCATGACAATATACAACCACAGTTATGGGTTAGATCTGGTAAATTGCCATTTGATTCCTGCTCTCTCCCTCCCTCACTGTCTGAGCTGAAGTGAAAGTGTAGAAACTAGATCTGCAAATATTTGAGCCTGAAATATCATATTAATTCATGTTGGATGAAGATCTTACGCTGCATGTTTTTCATAAGTTGGATATGAGAGCTCATGAGTATAATCTGCTATAATAGAATAAAAAGAGTAAAGAATAGCCTTGGTCGTTTAGGTCGCAACTTGTGGCGAAACAAAAAGGAAACCGTCACGGGCTCTGTAACATGGTCACAGCGGTTAATTCAAGGTTTTACAGCTCCGGAGATGCAGCGGGCTTTTGTTCCTGAGGAAGCCGAGGGAAGCGGTGAGGAGGTCGGTCACAGTGTCAGCTCGGGACCGGCCCTGGCATCTTACTGGTGCTCATTTTCATCAAATGATGGATTTTAAGTTTTCTCATTAACCTAAAGCTAAACTGCAACTTACCGTGATGTAACTACGCCTATGTGCCAGACAGTAAATATGTCACAGAGCTGGTTTACATCAACAGTGTTTTAATATTTCTTAAAGTTTTAAATAAATCACCAATGTATATTATTTTTTTATTTTTTTTTTGTTGTTGTTGTTGTTGTTGTTTTTATTATTAGTAATTGTAGTAATATTTTTATTATACGTTTAAGGTATCTTATCTCGTATTTGGACGCATGAAGCTTGACTGTTATTTCGGGATGCGTCTGCAGTCAAACCTTTCCCAACTTTATTGTGGTCTCTCAGTTGTTTTGGATCTTTTTGAGAATAATTTAAGGGCTACAAAGGCCAGTTTAAATGTAAAATACTACACGTTACGTTGTCAAAAAAATCTCATGTAAATTAGTGTTTCTTTTACCTCTTGACTTTGAGGCAAATTATACAATAATTTACTGTAATCAAAGCCCTAAAAAACAATTTAATTACACATGTATAGAATAGGCTACACAACAATATGGCTTTATATGCAAACATATAACAAACAAATGGTTGGGATCAAATAGCCTAAATGATTGTGACTTTTTCATTCTCATACCAGAAAAATGAAAACAGTATCGCCATTTTTCACATTTGTCATTTGTGACATTTTTATGTGATTATCAGTGAACATTTGAAATTAGAGCCAACTGTGAGGGACACACACACACACACACACACACACACACACAAATCTCCTGCTTTTTGCAGCAATAAAATAAAAGTATTGATTTAAGTCCAGAAGACTGACATGCATTGCACAAGTGCAGGATTGGCTCATGTCTGTTTCTGTGGCCTTCACGCTGTGACTATTTGACATCATGTCAGCTGGAAATATATGGACCAGTGGTTCCTTCATTAGCTCTGCTAGCACGGGCTAAACCAAACAGGATACCAGGTCCCCCCCAAAAATTTGCTGCATGATAGAAAGAAACATTTAATAAGATTTACAATAAAAGAAGAAGAACAGATAGCACGCATGGATAACAGATATGATCTACTGCCTGATCAATACTGAGAACATGCGGAGTTGCAGGACGCACCAGCTGCAAATCAAAAGCATTGAGGAAATGTATTTCCAGACACCTCCTTTGTATCCTGATTCTGCAAATACACAATTTAAAGCATCTTAATATAGGCAACAATACACAAAATACAAAAACACATAAATAGCCCTGCTCATACTACTGACCGTGTTGTGATAGGCTACTGGCTCCCTTATGCGTAAACTTTAAATGCAAGAAAGAAGACCAGGACCATTTCACTTTATTCTTGACCTTGCAGGCTAATTGTTGTTGTGCATACGCGTGCGCGTGGCCCCTGCGTGTGTATGCGCGCGCGTGTGCGTGCGAGAGAGCCAGCAGGTCTACTTAGCAGGCCCATTGACATTAAAGAGAAGTAAACAGACCCTGCAGACGGGGCCAGAGGAGGGGGCGGGGGCTCGCCATTGGTTGACAAATGCTATGAAGTCAGTTTCTCCTCCCCGGTAGTAAAGATGACGTAGTAAATCAGAGACTCTCCCTCTCTCCTTCTCATACAGACAAGCTGGCTTTACCACAGCTCAGTAGGCTATCAACTAGACAGTAGTGACCCAGTGCCTGTCCAGACTGGTCCTGCCTTGCCAAACGGCTCTGAGGCTGACAGCTGCTGACTGGCGCACAGAGGAGGATGAGATGAGAGAGAAAGGAGGAATAAGCTGCGCACTGTGAGAGAGTTTCTGAAGGAAGGAGAGGAGGGATAGACGCTGCTGTGACTTTATAACTAGAGGAAGAGGGAGAGGAACAATGTCTTAGAGGAGGAGGAGTTGTTTGGACTGAGCTGAGCGGCCTACTGGGCCACATAAGACAGGACTAGCCCGGGTCTAGCCTACTGTTGCACGGAGGACCGGCCGTCACGGTGGGAGCGGGCGGGCTGTTTCCGTCGGGAGCCGCTGGGTAGGTTATTGAAGATGCAAACATCTGCTCCGGACAACCGATAAGCAGCGAAGGCGAGCTCACTGCTGCAGCATCCGAGAAGGACCTGCGTGTGTGCGTGTTGGAAGGGCGTGCATGAGAGAGAGAGAGTGTGTGTACGCGCGCGCGTGAGTGCGTGTTTGTGTGTGCCACTATGAGTCTTGTGTCGGGCTTCCCTCACCACCCGGTCATGCACCACCACGACAGCCACCACTATTCCTTGCATGCAGCGGCCGGTCGGTGTCACGAGGACACCGGGGCTCCTCCGTACTTCACGAGCTGGCTGATAAGCCACGCGGATATGAGTCCAACCGAGTACAGCCTCGCACCCGGGTACAGCCCTGAGTACCATGGCAACAGCGGCGGCGGGTCCACCGGCGGCCTGGACCCGCACCATCACCATCACCACCACTACGGACCCGGCGGCTTGGTCCCGGGGGCCAGCGCCATCTCGGTGAATGGAGCCACGGTCGGTATGCACCACCACCACCACCACCACACACATCCACGGCCCGTGAAGCGGCGACCCACGGCCAACCGTAAGGAGCGGCGGCGGACCCAGAGCATCAACTCGGCCTTTGCGGAGCTGAGGGAGTGTATCCCAAATGTCCCGGCCGACACTAAGCTGTCCAAGATTAAGACGCTGCGGCTGGCCACCAGCTACATCTCCTACCTGATGGACATCCTGGACAAGGACGGACAGCACGGGGACACGCAGGCTTTCAAGGCCGAGCTGAAAAAAACGGAGGCTCGGGAGGAGAGGAGGAAGAGAGAGGCGGTAAGAGCACGTATGCACCGTGACACAGCCTGTGGACCTAAATAAGGGCACCAATTGTACTCAAGGTTTTTTAATAACATAAGAGTAATTAATTTCATCAGACACCAGCCTACCCGATCAACTAGCCTAAATCTGACCTACCCTCATATTTTCTGGGTTTAACCACAACCTATATATAATAAAGAAACACCGGTGTAGCCTGACACTCCCAGCAGGCAACAATTCACTGACAAATAACTTATGAATTATGATTTGGGTAAGTAAGCAACAGGCCTGCCTTGGTTCTATAATTACAGGCCTTCTCCAAGTCTTGAATTTAGTATACATGCTGCATAAGCTACTGAGCAGCAGACACATTTCACAGACAGGCCAGTAATGGAAAAACAACAAAGAAGCAAACAGCTGAGAGTTCAGACAACTAGGCAGCTAACTTTTAGGGACGTAATGTGACGCAGAGATAAACACAGATAGTTTAATTAAACAAGTGGATTAAACCAGCAACTGCACCCACCTTTAAAAAAGAATTTAAAATAATATTATTCTTATAACAATTTGGCTGGCGTGACGTGTTTTGACCTAAATTCACAGACTCTGCAGGAAGAAGATTTTACATATTGTTGCTGTTCATAAAGTGAATTATTTCTGGTGCATCTCACGAAGATAAATGACTGAAGGTCACAGTTGAACGTGCTGTAAATACTCTCTCTTCATTAGTCCTACTGGAAGTGGAAAAGGCAGCGTCCGAGAGGAAACACACTATTGGGTTAATGTATATTCATAACTGAATAACATAAATATTTGCTCATTCCCATTCACGCTCGCATTAGAGAAAAAAAGACCATAAAATAATACAATTTGGTGTGAGATTAACGTGCGTAATGGTAACATAGAATTTGCAAAATATAGACCATTTGATAACAGATCAGTTTTCACACATAATGCACTTTGTGCAATTTTATTTATTCAAATTCAATACTAGTTTTGCTTTGCACATAGAAAAAGCGACGTGAATAAATTATGTTCTAAAAAAAAATACAGTCCTGTTTAAATACAATACTTTGCGTAAAAGGCTGTGTGTCAGCTGGATTTATGGAGGACCCTGCGCGGCTGTTTTTTAAAGGTCGTGGGTCACCGGCCATCATTGCTTTTACAATTGTGACGTGCAAACGAGGTTATTTTTTAAAAGGATAATGTTGTGTTGACTCGACGGGGTAGTTATGTCAATGTTTGACTGGTTTAACCTGTGATAGGCGATCCCAGGGTTATAAATATTTCTGCACGATGACAGAAATGGCACGATAAATAAAGTTTACGCGGCTGGAGACACGGATATTTTGCTGATTGGCCATAGCTTCATTTATTGAGAAGATGGAGGCGGAAATCTATGTAAAGGTGAGATTAATCGTGCAGAAAGGACAAAGTGTAAATTATGAAACTGCTTTCCTTTTACGTGATTGTTTTATAATCATGCACAATAGCTGCATCCGCCATCTATGGACACTCCATAGGACTATATTACGCGGTATCACTGTTGCTAAACACCATTTAGATCTCCTATCCCATCCTAACATGACATTACATACAATATTTTGTCATATTTAAAACTGAGTGAGAAGGTCACAGAGCTGGCATAAAAATCAGGAGTGAAAAAAAGGCACAGCAGCTCAGACTCTTCCTGTGCACACATATACACAAATGGAGTGTAATCTCAGCCCTATTTATTTGGGGGAGGAATTTAAACAGCCAATGAAGCATATGGGGTGACTGCTAAAGAGAGAGTAAACAGTAAAATATAAGTGTGTTTACCCCTTTTTTATACTAAACACTTGGCTGGTAACCAAAGGAGAGGAAAAAAACTTCCCCATTTAAGCATATAAGCAAAAGCTTTTACACAATAATGGTTTAGTCCAAGTGATCAACAGTGGAGCCAGAAAATTGGTTGCCATCCTCAGACAGCTTGGAGCCAGGAGGGGCCAGGTTCAGCCATGTAGACCCACCACGATTATTCCTAGCAACACTTTTTTTGATGGTTTCGTCCTTTACAGCCGCACATATTATCCACATGATTTTGGTTTCCAGCTCTGCATATATATATACGGCCCATATCCCATGGCTGCAGCTTTACAAGGCCAGGGTTTATGGTTTGAAACATGCAGGAGATTTAACCCCAGTCCAACTTTGCTCTTTCAAACACAGTAGCCAGTGTAGAATTAATACTTCATTTATATTCGAGTTACATGGCTAGATGTAGGAATTTACAGTCTTTTTATTTACTATTATTGATTCTATGCTTTGACAAAACTCGCCGCCTGTTGTTTTGACACACATTAATCTCATGATAAATGGCTTCATCATAACATCCTACCCTATCCTACATCAGGTTGAGTCCTGCATGGAAATTATGTGCAGATATGAGCAATGCATGACCGTTTGGTCCACACAGAGCAGGTCAGAATAGACTAGAGGAGAATCGAACAGAATAATTATTTCCTGTCTGTTGCCTAGCGTGCTGCCTATAGGAAGTGTGCTGCATAATTGAAGCCAGAAAGCAATTTTTCCTCACATTTCAAACTGCAATCACTAATAGAAGGATGTGGTCCTCTTAATAACTCATGTCAACTCTGTCCTGAAACTCAAACACACACACACACAGCCCTGCTACAGGGACACTACAGATAAATCACATATATGAGCAGAATTTTTTAATTTGTTTTAAAAATATAAATTCTTATTAAGATGAAACTTGTATCAGAGGAGTGAGCGAGTGAGTGTAGCTTAAGTAAGCACTTAATGTTGCTCAGTCTGCTCTTACATTAATGATTAAGTGGTTAACCCATAAGTGAATTTAAAGTGTATTTAAGAGGATGACCTCTAAGCTTGCAAATGAGGGGGGACTTGAGGTAATAAACTCAGTCATTTCAGGGACCCTGAGTTTATATTATGCTGTGTGTGTGTGTGTGTGTGTGTGTGTGTGTGTGTGTGTGTGTGCAGGAGAGATTTAAGATTCTTTTGCAATTCATAAGATTTTTTTCTTCATCCACACTGTTGTATGTTTTGTGTCACTGATTACAGCTTAACTCAGGCCGCATCACTGTGGATGTTGTTGTACCACAGTGGGATAATCCAATGATCCAGTTTGTGCAAAATCAATAGAGGCAGGAACAGGACGCTGCTGGGTTTTAACCAAGACAGAGCGGTTTGATCAGTTTCTTGTTGTACGCTACACTTAAAATACATTTTTTAAAATTAAAAATATGTGCATGATCTTTAAGTTTAAGCTTTAACTGCATTATCTTATCACAGTGTAGCGGCAAAGTGATGACAAATGTGAATTTAAATCATTTTCTGAAATTATTTCTGATAAATAGATTAGGAATAAATGTTTTATTTTATTTTATTTTATTTTACCAGGAACAAACCTCTCCTTTACAAGAATGTCTTGTCCTGTCAAAATTGCAGACCAACAACATGTAAAAGTTACAATTAAAAAAAAACATCAGAGCCACAGCAGAACAAGAAACCAGGTCAACATATCCTGGATCAGACAGAGGTGTTATATAACATTATGTGACATTGTAAAATCATCAGTGTTTGGTGACAGGCCTGCATGTTACTGAATGAGTCACAGCACACCTTTTCATTTTATTCTAGTGTTTATTTGACTGTTTTTATTTCTATCTCTGTGGCATTGTGGTTCTGTAAGTGATACAGAGTAAACGTGCAGCATACAGAGAGCTGTAAATTTACATGCTAGTGCTTTCGGCAGCCTGACTAGAGACAGTGATATGTATCACGTTCAGTGACATGTAGCCTGCAGACTAACAGAGCCTGACTTCTGTCTTGACAAGTGACTGCTGGAAACAAGTGTCATGAGTGTGTGTTTGCAAGAAGCTCCAAAAATCCTTCAATTAGGTGTGTGTAAATAATAAAACACTGACAAAACCCCCATATTAAGTTAATACAAACATCACATGTAAAGGTCTACTGGCTGTTAGCTTGCTTAAATATTGAGTGCAGTTTGAGTTGAAGTACTGAGGCATTATTTATTATATTAAGTACATTGTGTGTTCATTATATTAATTTATATTCTGAATGTGTAAACAAATGTGTAGAAAAAGAAGTAGTTATGCCTTATTACAGTAGATGAGCATTTATGTTTTCAAATGATTATGAAAAAAGTTTTTATAATGACATTATAATTTGCTAATTAATAACAGTGACGTGGAACAACAGCATAAAGTGGAGGCCCCGCATAAACTCAGTGTGCTATAATTTTAATAATAAAAATAATTCCTTATTCACACGTCCAGTCAGTATTGTCCACATTCTTATTCTTATTGTTGTTGTTGTTGTTGTTGTCCCTTGTCTTGTTACGATTTTTAATGTGTTACCTTTTGTATAAACCATTGTTTTGTACTTTTGTTCTGAGCAAGGAACACATCGCAGTGTCACGGCAGTTGCGGCCTGTAGCATACACCATACACCATATACCATTATACTATAGGAGCACCCAGTAGAAACAATGGGGATGAACATGTTTGGGTGTCTGCTGCATGGTTGTGTATATCATTACGCACAGACTCCTCCTGTTAGCAGTAATTACAGACACGTCCTGCTGGCAACACTCGCATTTTATTGGACCTTATGGCTTTGGTAACGCACCTGGACCCAAACAGTGTGTTTGCCAATCCGGACCACTTTTTTTTTTTTTTTTTTTTGGTTAGGCCCATTTCGTCCAAATTTGCTGTTTTTCTTCCACACGCAGAGAGTCACCGTGAACTCAAAGATTAACGCTGACTGTCTGATGTTTTATACGCGTAGGCCTATTTCAGCACCAAGTATAAAAGTGTTGAGTCCTTTTTTTTAATAAACTCTTGTCTGTCTTTGTTTCTCTTTAATGTGTTCATATAGATTGCTCGTTGCAGGACCACTTACAAGCTGAAATTGCAGCATGCTCAGAGGGGACACAGTGTTAAAATCATTTACGCTACTTTAAGTAATACAAAGAAAATGCTGCGTTTTAACAGCACAACTATCGAAGAATAAACTCTCATTGCAACAGAATATTTTCTGCAGAGTGATGAGTTATTGATGCAGGTGATCTGTCCCGTTTGATAAACGCTCATATCTCCAAAGATCACCGTGGCTCCTCACCCTGCACAATGAAAGAGGCCTGCTCACGCGCCGCTGCTTCAAAGTCGCAGTCAGATTTTAAATGCAGGCTCTTGCGGATGTTGGCTGGTGGGTTACAACGTGTTTACCGGAGTGAACAGTGGTTCACCGCTTCACAATTGGTGTGGGCTCTGCTCGCTGGGAGCAACGCGACAGTGCAACATTTTTATGAAGTATGAAGAGAAAAATGATAAGTCTGGGCTGATGGTGCAAATCCTGCAGATCTCGTCCTTCAGCACAAATAAACGGACTGAGTCAGGATGACTATATTACACATTGTTGGAAGATACTGCAGCAGGATGGTGTCACTGTGTCATCAGACACGAGCCTCAGTGACGACACGAAGTCCATTCATGATTTGCACTGTGTGCTGAGGTTACACAGTGTCATTATGAATCTTTTTTTAAATATTAATATACAAATACTTCTAATTTCTCTATTGGCCTATTTTCTATTTTCCAACTCGGCCTATGGTCCTGCTACTGATCCTATTGTCTCGTTGTTTTCCGCTTTCTTGCACAGAACACACGTTAAATTCACTAAAATCAGCAAGTTCGATTAAAGGTGTAGATTTCTCCTTCAGGAGTTACAACATGTGCATTTATCCCCCCATAAAAACATTAAAGTAGCATATACATTTTATTTTTGACAAAATTAAAGACATTTAAATTATAAATTGGTGCATAAAAATTCACCAGAATGCAGGAAACTGGGTGTTTGACGGTCAAGAAATTTTGCCCCAAACCCTTCATATGTGTCCTCCCCAAATATTGAAACAAAACCTACGCCCTTATCATAATTATTATTATTATTACGGACGTGTACAGTCAGGGTTTTTTTGCGAGTATTTGTGCTTTTTTTTTAAATGGGGACGACATGTTTTGTTTAAAAAAATGCATAGCCCACATCACTCAATAAATACTAATATTATTATATTGCTTTTTTACCATATAACATATTAAAATATTTTTATTAGACTAATCATGGATTCAAAGCTTTTGCTAAATTAAAACTGATAACAATAAAAAGAATAATATATTACAATTACATACAGCAATAAGAATAATTTGATCATGTGTTTAACATTAAAGGACAGTTGAACCTGTTTTTTTACAACGTCAAATCCTTCAGTAAATAAGGTCTACCTTAAATAAGGTCTATAAACGATAGGTTTTACTCAAGAAACGCTGTTTTATCCGAGCACCCGGTGGTCAGGTGACCATATGAACGTGCGGAGCTTATAAAAACATGTTATTCCTCTGTGTAAATGTAATTATGAACACCTATTCTTTCACATACTTGTGTATCCAGCGTCGTTGTCCTTGATCTCATAGCTGTTACGTCCTTTTATCTGTAGGCCCAAGTACACTGAGAGCGATGCAAAACCCGAGTCAGATCGCTTGTGTACTTGGCCAATAAAAATGATTGTGATTCTTCAGCATCGTAATAAGTCTCATAGAGAAATCACTGATGTGGAGCATTTATGAAATTGGGCCTGTCCCAAATAAAATATCATTACACTCAACACACACAAACATGGATGTGGGTTTTGTTTTAAGGCTGGGAGTAAGGATGGTCCACGGCAAGAAAAAACTCTTACTATCCTACATTCTGGTGATTTTTTTTATTATTATTCTATTTATTTAATTTTTTGGCACCAGTTTGTGCATTTTCTGCGCCAATTTATGGTGTTAATTGGTGTTTTAGATTTTGTCAAAATAAAGGTCTTCTGCTACTTTCAATTTCTTTATTGGTCTAAATATTGAGGCGGTGTGTCCCCTGCATCCCCCTGAAGTCTACAGATATGGCGACATGAAATCCAATAGGTGCACTCATGTTGTGTTCTCAAAAAAAAAAAAAAAAAGTAGGCTATCATGGTGTATAACCAGGGGCAAAACTGTGGGGCCCTTGGGCTGGAGGGGCCTGTAGAGAGAGCAGGCCCTTGCATGGGATTAAGATGTTCAAAAATAAATAAAAACCAAAATAATTATAGGGTCCTCAAAAAGGCAAACCCATCTGTTGTGGGTCTCTTTTTTCTTTTTATTTATTTCTTTTTAAATATGCTTTATATAAAATCTAAAAACTATTCAATTGAATGATTAATTTCTTACCTTCTTTGTTATTTTTGTCAGATATGCAGGGATGATTGCTGGGTAATATTTATGTTGATGTTGTCCAATTTGCCAATTGGCAATAGGCTACATATAACGAAAACAATTTCCGTGGTGCTGTTTAGCTCTACTTTCTGTCGTATAACCCATATAAAGTTTGTTTAAACACGCATCAACGTGTGTAAAATAACTAACACCAAATGTTATGTGTGCGCAGGTGGAGATCCCAAAGACAACGTCATCATCCTCATCGTCATCCTCCTCGACAGCGGGCGATAAGAAGAGTAAAGGACGGACAGGATGGCCTCAACATGTCTGGGCCCTGGAACTCAAACAGTAGCGCCTCCTTCCCTCCATCCCTCACTCCTTCCGTCCTGACAGCACCCTGTCCCTCCTCCAGCTCCTCCGGGAGAGTGATGGGACAGTCATGGCGCGCTCTGATGAACTGTACCGGCGCTCATTATCATCATCATGACCTCTCTGGACCTGGATCGAGAACGGTGGACGCTTGTGTAGCTCCGTTCATGTTGGTGAGACACGAAGAAAGTTGGAGTTCCTCGTAGAGCATGATTTAAGATTTATAACTCCCCACACCTTTCATCAGCGATCCCTGATTTCCTCCTTAAATTGTACCCCGAGAAAAAAAGGGGGTCGCCAAATGGAAATATCCCGCATGTTTTATCAATCATCATTCCCCTATAATTCAACATATTTGATGTCAGTGGAAACTTTAGGACAGGCTCATTTAAAATACAGTCTATAAGCTTGGATGTGCGTCACAGCAGCTGGGTTGGATAGGTTTGATAAAATCCATCGTACATTTGAATCAACAGGAAACACTGCAACCAGCCCAGTCTAATGAAATAGGTGCTGTTTGGTGGATGGGATGTATGCCGAATTAAAGAGTGGTCTATAAAAGCTCTCAGGTTCTGTTCTGCCAGATGTGTAGGGCCCTACGTTTCCACTGAGCGAATATACCACTGCTTAGATAATGAACGGAGACCGGCGGAGTCTCTCTTCCTGCAGAGGGGAAACAGGACCGGGATAGGCGGAACCATTTCTCCCCTTTCTCTCCAAACACCTCCCATTAAAACCACCACACACACACACACTCTCTCTCTCTCTCACACACACACACATGCACGGGGTGTTGACGTGCTCTCTGCTTTATTTAACGGAATATATTTATGTGCAATGCGGCCGTGAGAAGGACCCGAGCAGCCACTGCGCTGACTCACACCGGACATTTTACTGAGCAGGCCTACCTTTGATTAAACGACAAGGTGTATGTGAAGTCTCTCTTTCTTTCTCTCTCTCTCTCTGTCTCTCTCTTTTCTCTCTCGCAATTTCTGGGTTGTAAATGTATTGACGTCACGGTGATGACGACGTGTCCGTGTTGTGGTGTGAAAAATGTGGTGGGAGACTAAAATAATGCTTTATGTGGGGTGTAAACAGTGTCATAAATTTAATAAACCACCACCTGGTGATGCAAAGTGGATGCTTTCTTACTTTCAGTGGGTCAAAGTGGATTGTGTGTAAATTTAATACTGATGTCTGAGAATGAGTCAGAAGTAACAAGAGAAAGTTTCCACATGTAGCTCCAATGAGCATTTGGACTCAATGAAAAAAAGACATCAGCCTAAAAGTGTGTGATGTGCAGCATTATTATGAACATGGCTCCCTATTTCAAAGCAAAAAAAATGACCAAAAAATAATTTGAAATAGTTACTTTCATGTTATGACAAAAACGGAACCAAGATTTAGTGTTAGAATTCTGGACAGGGACAAAAATTAGATCATATGTGTGGATTTTGTGAACTTGTGCATTTACCCCCACCCTCCCCCAAAAATATAAATAAAGAAATAAAAATAGAAAAATAAGAAAAATAAATTTCCATTATAAATTGATGAAAAAAAGGCACAAATTGGTGCAAAAATTTACCAAAATGCAGAAAATTAGTCTCTGATGCTCAAAATTTCCTGATGAGGACCCCCATCCCCACTTCAAATGTTTCCCCCTAAAATTTGAAACAATACCTATGCCCCTAAAGAAGATTACAGCCTGTGTTGCATAGAAAATGTGTGGCAGATAATAAGATACAGATATTTAAAATTGTAGGACATAGTCTTAATTTATTTTTTAGGCTACCCTTTTTCTTAAAGGCATCTAAATTTTAGTTACGAGCACAAAAAAATTAGTGTGACTTCATGACATAAATACATACTTTCTAATGTAATTGTTTGTTCTCAACTTTCAAAAAAAAATAAGGGTTTCAACTCTGTGTTTGCAACTACAACTGCAGCCTACAAACATCTAACAGCCTCATTAAAAACTCAGATTTAGTTAGACAATACGGTTTAACACTATATAGTGTTAATCCTACTGTAATAAAGATCTGAAGAAGTGCAGTTCATGCGCCTTATTCACAGTTGAATTAGAGATCAGGCCTTCAACAGGCTGTATCTTCAAGTTTGCAGTGCAGTGTGAGGCGTATTAAAATAGTGCAATTGTTAAGTTCAAGTCTTGATAAGCTGGAAAATATGTGAACACAAAATGGCATTCTTTTTTTTTCTTTAAAAAAGGGGGAGCAGCGGCCCTGCCTTAGCTTATGAGGTCAGATATTAAAATTATTACCCAACACCCAATGAACTCCCAGCAGAGCTTGCAGACGGTTCCTGGTTCATCTTTTCACTTCCATGTTTCTCATGGTTGTGTGACATGTAGTCTTTCAATGCAGTGGATGATTACAACAGATATTTAGCATGTTTTCCCAATGGAGAAGCAGTTTAGAGATGACTGGGTTGAATTTGTGATTTGTTCAATCTCTTAGGCTCGATCGTAAAGCTTCTGTGCCATGGTGTGAGTATAGTGATCATAACCGAGGAATGATGGAAAAAGTACAAAAAAGTCTTCAAGTTGGAAGAAAAAACATCAAAATTACACTTTTTTTTCGACTTTATTCATAGAAAACCCTAAAAATGTGTATAAGAATAATATTATTGATGTGTAAACCAGGGCCAGATCTGGGATGTGTCTATCAGGGACCAGAAGGGGCCATAGTTTACACAACAGGGCCCAGTTTGAAGCCTGGGGTCCACCTTCAGGAAAATCTGAGAATTAGCATTTCCTGCATTCTGGTGACTTTTAATGTATGTAAACAACCACAAAACCTAAAATCAAATCAACTTGGGTCAGAACTTTTTTGAAAACTCAAACAGAAAGTTCAGGTACTAGTAAACAATGTGATAAAGCCTCCTAATCCCATGGTGCTGACTCTTTCTCACACTTCTCTCACATTTTTGTCGTCCTGAGGGATTCATTTCACACAGTGTTAGGAACCTGGAATTGTTCGTCCATTAGCAATGCATGGATCGGCTCTGACATCATCTGTACACATAAATTATCCACATGAATGACTTATTTTCTCCAATTTAGAGACCTGCACCCACATGGACATTTCTCTCCCCCTCCACCAGTCCCGATAGGCTTTGTACTGTATTGATGTATGAGTGTTTTCTTTAACAATATGATGATTACAGAGGCTGTTTTCAGTAACTGTAACATTTCCATGCGTGCAGTGATGTCACCGCTGCAAATATCATGGGACCAAACTAAAAACTGTAGCCTTAAACTTGACAGAGGAAACAGAGCTAAACTTATAGCTTGTGAAATAATCAGTGACATCACCGTGCTGTTCCTCAAGGCGCACAGTGGGGATGCACTTCTAGTTTCTGCTGTGGTGATGGCTGCAAGTATTTAATAAACCCAATATCATAAGTGTGACGATATGGTATCATCCATCCATCCATCCATCCATCCATTTTCATCAACAGGCTGACAAGGTATTCCAGACGTCCCTCTCCCCATGCAAGGTTTTCCCGACATGTTTCCAGGCCAAACGAGATATATAATCCCTCCAGCATGTTCTGGGTCTGCCTACCAGTTGGATGTGCACCCAGGAGGCATCCTGATCAGATGCCCGAACCACCTCAACTGGCGCCTTTCGACACAAAGGAGCAGCAGCTCTACTTTTAGCTCCCTCTGGATGTCTGAGCTCCTCACCCTATCCCTATTCTGAGCCTAGCCACCCTACAGAGCAAACATATTTCAGCCACTTGTATCCGCAATGTCATTCTATCGATCTCTACCCAAAGCTCATGACCATAGGTGAGGGTCGGAACGCAGATAGACCAGTTAATCGAGACCTTTGCCTCCTGGCTCAGCTCCCTCTTCACCACAACAGTCCAACACAATGCCTGCATCAATGGTGACGCGCACCAAACTACCTGTGCATGTCCTGTCGTGATATGATAACATCTACAGTAGACACATCTTTCAAAATTCAGCTAATGAAGTGCTCTGAAACAAACAGGTTAATGTCCCTGTGGCCTCGCTCCTGGATCTGGCCATGCTAAGAAGCATCTACACCTGAAAGCATAGATCGGTTTGTGTATCTGCATACTGTACGTTTCTGTGATGTCTGTCTCTCTTCACATCAGGAAGAAGGAGAAGAACAGGTGCAAAGCTTCAGGAGACTTGATGTATTTAACTATTCGCAACAGATCCAAGATAGTGTATCATAAATTCAGCAGTGAATGACATTCAGCAATTATTGCTCTCGTTTTGTTAGCAGTACCGGTCGTATTTGTGTAACTGTTACATATTACGTTGGACAGCAGGAGGATTTGTTGCTGTGTTTGCTGCCTGTGTTGACACACTTCTGTGATTTGTGACACAGATGAGGGAATATCGGAGCCAAACATTCTCATATCCCACGAGAATAATAACCAGGAGACTAATGTGAAAAGTTCTTCAAAGCAGACAGAAGGTAATACATTGGATATGTGATGTAAGTCTGTTTTGCTTCTGTCCAAATATCAATTGCACGAAAAATGTTGGCTTTGGACGTTTCAGCAAATCACTGATATGTTACATTTGCATGTTATTATGAAGTGCATACATTGAAACTTCACATTGAAACTTTGTGTTTCAATAACGCTGTGGTTAATGTGTGTTCAGGTTTAGGCACAAAAAACACTTATGGTTACAGAAGATCATATTTTGGCTTAAAATACCTGGTTTTCGAGGGCACACTCCCAGCAGGAAAAGCACTGATGTCTTCGTAAAAAACAAACTCCTTTACATGCCTTAAAAGCCACTGGAAACACAGCAACAGGTCGCTACAAAACACCCACATTTGGTGCCTAAAAAGCTGTTGGAAACACAGCAGTGACTCATTAGATTTGTTTTTTATTTGTTGGTCTTGAACAGTGATCTGCAGCTTGGCAGGTGTCTAGCCTGGGTGACACACCATCCACCATCCTCTCCTCTTCCTGATAACAAAGTCAGCTCATTTACTATGCCACTTTAGAAATGTTGATATGATATGAAATGTACAAATGTAACGTATTTGTTGTTTGCAGAAATGTACAATGCCAACATCATCTGGAGGCTGGGCTGGGTCAACGTTAATACATACCTGTCAAAGTCATATGACTTTGACAGGTATGGAGAGTTGTGATTGGTTTCACTCAGCTTCTATAATTTTCGGCCACATTTGATTCTGGTGCTGGCAGCATTTTTTGTTATAAAGACCACAAAGGAAATGCTGAGGATATTTTTTGTTTTAAGTTGGGCTAGGTTTATTTGCACAATATTGGATTTTTTGCTACTATCCAGTATGCCAGTATGTAACTCATTTGAGCGATAACCAATATCGAAATATTCACTTTTGTCCCCAACTTATTTCAGTGATCATCAAGTCTCTTCTGTAGTGGAATTAACATCATATTATGCATGCATACTCTTATCGTGATGGCCCACCAGTAGATGGAGACATGAAATACAATACTTTTAAATGTATGTAATATTCATTCATTGTGCAAAATAACAATGAGCTTGTCAAAAATAAAATTGGTTCAGAATGTGAAAAGTTGGTTCCCAGCTGCAACAAAAAAAGCAGGTTTTCCTTGAAGACTTCAAAAGGCATGTCATATTCTACAGCTTAGAAAGAGAGTCCTGCAGGAACAGTCCGCTTCGTCTTCTTACAATTGATAGTTGGTCCATGCTTTTTTTTTTTAAAATAAAAACAAATATGTGTGATAATAGAATAAATCCCTGCGGGAAATGAGTGTGATCCACTGTATTGCTACTGTTTACTTCCATTGTGCAGTCACTAAAAATAATAATACATTAATTCATTCATTCATTTTCCATAACCAGTTATCCTATTAGGGGATGTGGAGGGCCTGGAACCTATCCCAGCTGACACTGGGCGAGAGGTGGGGTACACCCTGGACAGGTCGCCAGACTATCACAGGGCTGACACATAGAGACAGACATTCACACTCACATTCACTACGGCCAGTTTAGAGTCAACAGTTAACCTAACAGGCAATTTAAAGTCACCAATTAACCCGCCCTGCATGTTTCTGGGTTGAGGGAGGAAGCCAGAGTACCCTGAGGAAACCCACGCTGACACAGGGACAACAAACAAA